AAAAAAAAAATCCACTTGGATTCTGAATGCTGCACATGAAAAATAAATTATAAAGCAACAAAAAATAATCGTGTGTTATACATGAATTTAAAATACAGAAGTGAGATAACTTTAGGAAATCATAGCCAATACTAAAAGCTTCTGAGTTTATAACAAAAGTATTTCATCCATTACTTTACTTATCAGGTACGTCCTGGGTGCTTGCCATATGCCAAGACTATGTGTGAGCAAAGCAGTGAACAATAAATAAACACAGTTGCTTTCATGGAATGTTCTAGTAGGGAAAGAGGCAATGTAAGGGAAATAGAGTGCCCACAGGCAAAGGCAGAGGGCTGCTATTACATTTAGAATATCTAGTGAAAATCTCTACAGCCTGGTGAAAATTAAGCAAGAATAGGAGGTGGGAAGCCAGCTTTGAGGACCTCTGGGGGCGGGGGAAGGGTTTCCCTAGAAGGAAGAGCCAGAGAATGAGTGGCATCTCCTGGAGCAGTATGGAGGCCATTATAGGCGGAGCAGAGTGAGTAAGGGGGAGAGTGGTAGGAAGGATCTCGGAGAGCCCCAATCAATTCCCTGAATAATTACTCGCCCCCTTTTAAGTGCTCCTTGTCTCCGCTTTACTGTGGCAAATGAACATAAATCATGTTTTCAGACCTGATCTGGAAGGTAAGATGTTATGGCTTGTGTCTAGATGTCGCCTCAGAGCTTCATGTGGTCACAGGTGGAGCTTTTTGGAGGTGGCTGGATTTAGGGTGTGTGACGCTGGGATTAAGGATGGGACACTGGGATTGATTCATGGTGCAATGCTAGGGTTAAGAGTAGATAATATAAGAGTCAGAAAGGGCTGGTTAGCATGAGGCTTGCTGCCTGCTGCCTTCTGCCTGCCCTGCTTTGCCATGAGCTGCCTCTCCTCTGCAGTGTCCCCTGGGCTCGGAACCAGCCAACAACGAACTAAAACTTCTACATACTGTGAGCTAAGTAAGTCTTTCCTCCTTTAACTTTAGGTGTCGAGTATTTCAGCTCTGCAATAGGAAAAGAAACTAAAGCACAAGATAGAAGTCTCTGTTAATTTTCTAAACAACTCTGACAGGGACCTGCTGTTTTCTCCTGGGGTGAAGGGGTGTAGTCAGAGGTGAAAGGATTCCAGAAGTCTCCAAGTTTCCAGAGTGCTTTGAGTCCCACCATATTCAGCGAAAGATTCAGGAAAATCTAAATTAAATTGGGCCTCGGAAGTGCTGCTGTGATTGTGGGAGAAAGAGTTCAGGAAAAGGACAAGGGTGGGTAGAGACCCTCTAGAATAATTTTCCCAATAGATTTCTAGAATGCGAGTGCTCTGTGGATGGGATCGTTCCTCTGTTCACTGCTTGGCATGGGATAAGCATTCAACAAATATTTTTTGAATGAACACACACAGGAGTGGAGCAATCTGCTCAGCAATATAGTGGAGACACATAATAGACATATAAACATACAATGTTAAATTAAATAAGTTTTCTGGTGGCTAATACAAGAAGTGAATTATTTTTACTACCTCAAGTAGAAACCTGTCTCTCTGGTCACTAATAAATTCATGAAGAGTCTTTTTTGTGTCTGCAGCTGTAAGGAACATTTAAATAGATTTAGGTTTAGTTCATTATCCTTCAAAGATGTCATATGGAATAAAAGCGTAAGTTATTACATTCACTGTAGAATATATATGTGCTTTAAGAAACTACCTTGCAGTAAGATTTTTCATAACCACTCATAAGTTAATAGTAGTAATTATCATTTATTTTGTACCCAGTCATATCCCAGGAACTTTATTAAATGTTTTAAAGGTATCATTTAATCCTAATGACAATCCAAATAAAGGATATGTTACTGCCCCATCTGTGTGCCTCCAGAAACTTAGAGAGGTCACAATTCTCCAGTTCATATAGGCAAGTGGCAGGGATGGGGACCCATTTCCTCAGCCTGAGCTGTACTGAAGAAGTCTGAACTTTTGATTTTTTTTTAATTTTTTTTTTTTTTTTTTTTGAACCAGGGATTGAGCTCAGGCCCTTGTGCTTGCCAGGGAAGCACTTATTCTACTGAGCCATCTCCCCTTGAACTTTTGAATTTCAATGCTTGGCTGATCTACAGATGAAACTGAAGTCCGCAGACACAGGGCTTTAGAGGAACCACAAACTAAACGTACAGCAGAACAGGAAAATAGGGCAACGAGTTTCACCACGCAGAAAACTAAACAGGAAGGACTAACAAATTCCCCTAATGGTTTATTCTTCATTTTGGAAAATTATATTTATGCTGCATTTCATTATTTACATTGTGAAAAATTAACAGAATGTGGTATGAAATGAAATCTCCTGATAATAATGTAAATAGAAGTAGAAATAAACAAGTTTTCCTTAAATAGCCAGTGAGTCAGTGCTGAACCAGGAGGCCTAGGTCTTTCTGGGTTGCATTCAGTCTCCACCTCTTACTAGTTGGTGTCCCAAGTACCTAGCTTCTCCATGCCTAAGTTTCCTCACTTGTTCAATGAGGTCACTAACTGGTAGGTTAGTTTAGTGTCCCTCCTATCTGCGGTCTCCAACTGGGAGGCTATCTGCCTCCTAACTTGATGTCAGGTGGTTGGCCACGGAAGGTATGTGGACTTGACCTACATTGTTTCCAAGGGGAAACCAAGAACCGCCGCTCATTTCCTTTCTCCCTTTGCCATAATCCTAGCTGGGTCCCACACAGCAAATGTTCTCTCAACAGAAAAGCCCGGGAAAAGCACCAAACTTGGAAAGCGATGAGGGTTCAAACCTCCGAGACTGTAAACCATTGAAATGGAGCAGGGGTTCATTACCAAAGTGTAATTTAGCCTAAGCAGCTGTGTTATTCTTTCCTAATGGTGTTGGGAGAAGGAAATGAGGCAACAGACTACAAGGATAGCAACTTCTTAAGAGCTGTACTGTTCAAACAATGCAAGTAGAACGAAGAATCATTGAATTATTTAAGGTCAGTAATTTAAGGTCAGTATTTAAGGCAACAATGATTACTACAGTCATTAACCAGCACAAGTTGGGAGGTAATGAGGAACAAAGTTTGGAATCAGACCAGCTGATTTGAATTCTATATCCACTTAGAGATTTGGGGTGATTCAACTGCTCCAAGTCACTTTCATCAGATGCAGAGGAGACAGAAATGTCTAGCACTTTCCTGGTGAAGATTAAGTGATGTGCATATTACAGTCATCAACACTTAATACACAGGCATGTTTTTAAAGCTTCTTAAAAGTGTATAGGAGGGGGCTGGGGAGATGACTCAGCAGGATAAGTGCTTGACTGACAAACACAAGGATCTGAGTTCAATCCCCGGTTCCGAAAAAAAAAAAAAAATGTATAGGATAAAAACCACTGCCATTCATGAAAGTAGAGTCATCTAATGAGCCCATGTACCTACCTGTCACCTACTCCAACACTGACCACATTTGGCCAGTCTCATCTTTTGCCTCCCCTCGTTGGTTACTGTCTCACTAGCGTATTTTAAAGAAAATAAAAACACTTGGGTCATTTCAGAATGTAAGTACTTGAGTATATAGCTCCCTGACAAAACAGCTTTAAGGCATAATCACAATACGCTCGCATTTAGGAAAACTAACAAATCTTGAGTGTGATCTCTTAGCCAGCCTGAACTAAATCTTCCCAGTGGTGTAATAATTAAAATCTGAAGATCAATTCTGTTGGCGGGGCTCCTCAAGTCTCCTTCATGTGTCACAGCCACCCCCACTTACCTGACACCTTTACCCACATGCCATTCATTTGTGCAAGGAAGCGGGTCAGTGTCCCTGTAGAACTTCCCATAGACCGGTCTAGAAGACTGCGTTCTCAGGACTCTGCTTACCACAGCCTTCAAGAGCTCATATTTACTCAGATTCGGGTGCAATTTACTCAAACATCTAAGGAAGAAAGTGCTCCCTGTACCTTTTATCCGCTCACTTATGAAGGGCCAGCCCAGTGGAAAACTAACTCCAACACCTCTCCCCCAAGCTGAGTACTGTCCAACTGTTAAATATTAGTTCTGGCTACTTTCACATGACCGTACTGGCTGGCGGCATAGATGGAATGTTATCTTGCTATCCTAGTAAGACTCGCTCTAGCGCATTTCCTATCTGGACTATTCTAGCTCTGAGGTGGATGTTGCTACCGAGACTCATAGAACAGAGCTTTCCCCAAAGCAGCAGCATTCCTGGACATCAAAGCCCTTCCATCACTTACTGGAGATGAAAAGCGCAGGCTGAAAGGGCTGGCTCTGTGAAGATGCAGCGGAGCTAAGCCAGCCGGTCAGAGGCTGTGTCCTGGAGACCCAGGCAAGCGGGGCTGCAGTCGCCAAGGTGGAAAGCTCCTTCAGCGTAGGCGACCTAATTTGCTCATGACAGTTGCCCAGGTACTTTCTCTGATGGTGACCTAGCAGTTTGCTGCTACTGCGTACAGAACCACCTCGACTCCCACTGCAGCGTCCTGGCTTCTTTCACTCTCACGTAGCTTCATTTTCAGTCACAGTGCGGGCAAGACATGTAAGATTGGGAAACAGGGGTTTTGGTCACGGAACTCCTGATCAGAAACAGTCAGAAGTCTTTACGTGGAAAGCCTAAGCTGCCGGGTATCCGCAGCTGCCAGAGCCCGACTTGCCCTGGACAATGCCCAACAGTTTCATCATTTCCTCTGCAAGAGTTTCTCATGGTGCTTACTCTTCAGACAGAGGAAACACTAGGTCATTTGCAAAGCTCTTCTTCCTGGTGAGCCCAGAACTGCCGGAGTGGTGAGGGCTTTTCAAGTCAGCTTCTTTGTGCAGAACTCTTTCCTAAAGGTCTCACACTTAGACCCTGAAAGACTCTTGGCAGGCCCACCCTCCTACAGAGGTGGCGTCTGAAACTCAGGCTCGAGCCTGGATATGCCCTAGTTGTTGGCATCATTTGTTACAGCCTATTTTGAGGGGACAGCTATATGTGCACCTCTGAGATCTTTGAAATTGATTTAGATGGCATCCAATTTTTCATTCCAAGTGGTTTACTTGTTCTCTGGAGATTTTTTAAAATTTTATTTGGAGGCACAGTCTTGCTATGTAGCCCAGGGTGGCCTTGCACTTACTGTGATCCTCCTGCCTCAGCCTCCTAAGTGCTGACATTACAGGTGTGTACCTCCACACTTGGCCTTTTGTTCTTTCTCCATATGTTGGCAAGTACATGGGCTTTGGGAAGCCGAGGAAAAAGCAGTTTAAGTTACCACAGCAAATTCTGGATACTTCAAACTCATAGTGATCCCCCATCTCAGCCTCCCCAGTGCTGGGATTACAGGCGTGCGCCACCATGCCCAGTTCTGGGACCACCATGGTATGTGGTACCGGCAATCAAACCTGGGTCCTTGTGCTTGCCAGGCAGGCACCTAGAGCGCTGAGCTATCTCCCCAGCCCCTCATGTCATTTTTGATAACCAGCCTGCCCTCTTCCATAGAGAAATGATTGGCATCTTGTGCTATGTTAACACGTTGCCTTCTAAAGTCATTAACATTGGGTATGTTTTTTGCAAAAATAAGCAAGGCTGTTTAACTTGATCAGCTTCTCAATTCTGGATATAGGAGTTCTCTGAACAACAGAAGCCTCTCTGTCCTGAGAAAATTTCCGTATCTCTACATCTTTTTTTTTTAATCAAATAGGTTTTATTCAGTTTTAGGATGATGAAAACAAATGATATAAAATAAGTCATAAGAAATACTCTCATGCTGTCACCTCAAGCCACTTTCAATGTCTTACAAATGCTCACACTGCAAATATGAAAAGTTTTAATATTCTTACAACTTCTGCTACAATAATGCAACATTAACATACAGATTTTTTTCTGTACCAATTTTAAAGTTGAATTACTGAATTACATACTAATTCTTATGCTAGTCACATATATTTTATTTATACACTTTTAATGAGATCGTTGCCAGTACACATTATTTTTCCTTAACTTCATTTGTACATTAAGTCAGTGTCTGTCATGCAGCCATTAAAAACCTTTTGGTAAATTACACAGGTGTATAGTCCAATTTCGACTCTAGCTTCTTAGAATCAGCCCCTTTTCTGACTGCTTTCATGCAGTCTTCCTGAACTACAAAATCATGATCAGCACGAATTGCAAACATACCTGCTTCAGTGCAAACATTTCTCAGGTCTGCTCCATTAAAGCCATCTGAAGGCTTCACAATTGCCTCATAATCTATTTCACCATGCTTCATAATGGGACCTGCATGGATTTTCAGTATAT